TAGGTAGGTACTTGGCAACCCTAGTATCACACATTAACTAAAGAACAGGCAGTTCTTCGACCACCCACAATACTTTGGTTTATTTCAATGCCCACCCATTTATATCTCACCATTATCTCTTAAATTGCATCTTAACATAAAAAGTGCCCTGCTGAATCAGGCGAGTGGTCCGTCTAGTCCAGCATCCTATTTGCATTGTCCACAGTAGCCACTGTCAAAATGCTTCTTCACATGATTCCGCTACACACTAATGCCTCACTATTAGGAATCACAGGGTTGCTTATGATCTACCAACACTGCTGACAGAAAATATCTAGTAGTTAGCATGTGAATGCTGTGTGAGTTCACAACTTCTTGCATGTGAAAGTCACCATCCTAATATTTTCTTTTACAAAAGCTAGAATTCATTTCAAACCAATTCTTAATTGGAATTTATTGAAAAACAAATGACAACTGATATGGCCAAAGTCTGTCAATGTCCTCTGATAAAGGCTGTCCACAGGATCTCCTTAAAACTTGACAAAAATGTGGTGGTAAATATATTCTGTTCTTCTTTCTATCCCAAAGTTTGGGAAGTTGGGGAAGTATTTTGTTGCCTGCAAGACCAGTTTCCACCAGACTCCCATGATGTCTTTATTTAAGAGGTGTTTTTTTCCCTAGTTATGGAACCAATAGACATAGGTGAGAAGCGTGAGTCAGTACACAGAGAGCTAATTCCAAGGCAAATAACTGTTGGTACTGGAGGTTCTCAGGTTAAAGGCATGTCTGCATCTCATCACTATAGGTATTTGGCTAAACAGGATGGAGTAAAATTTATTATTTCCATAGTAAAAACTGATCAAGGAATTAGCTCCAAAAGCACCATTTAGAATTTCTTTGTGTGTGGGGAGGTGAGTTTCAAAGCAAAACTCAAAGCAAGGCTTACATCAAGGCTCTTGGGTGTATTCAAGATTAAAGGCACAACATTAGTGCCTTTGAACTTGGTGAGACTCATTTCTAAGTAAACATGCATAAAATCCGACTGCTAATCACAAAAACATATTTAATAGCCTTGTTGTGGTTTCATGTCTCATTAAACTTTAGCAATATTATGAACACTACATTATCATTTTTTCCCTTAAATACAGGGGATGCATACCTGTACATGAGCCCATTTAGATGATTGCAAGTTACAACAATTGGCTACAAATACAGATGTTCATTATGAGTATTTGCATATGGTCAGGAAGACAAGGAGAGAGGAAACTGAGTCCCCCTCCTCCCATAATAGTGCCAGTTGATTGGTTCTAAAACCTAGACAATTTTATTTAGCAGTCAGTGAACCTTCCATTGTCTTCTTCAGCCAGCTGTGGTTACCTGAAAAGCTGCTCCTGATAGTTAGGAGTCACTCCCCCACCCCAGCACCGTATGGGATGCAGTGGTGGACTGCAGCTCTGAAGTGGGGAAGCTACAGGAATCACTGCCACGAGTATCTTCCTCGTGCAAGTGGGATTGCTTTCTATTAGTGCTAGGGTGAGTTTGGGTCTAACTCATTGGTTTGTATGGAACTATACAGTTACAAAGACTTAAGGGCATGTCTATCTATGGGAGGGGCAATTTCTTCTCATTGACCCCTCCTACAGACCCCTATGTTGCCCCTTATGCTTTTTATGGGGGTCCAGTGACATCAAAGAACAAAATGGGAGGGGGGATCAGTGGGCTACAGCAGGAGCATTAAGTGGGAAAGTCATGCTCTATAAGGTCCATGGAATGAGTTGATATAATATTAAAAATGTACTGATTGCTAACAAGCCTCCCTGTTCGTTTGTGCTCCAAATGCAGCAATGCATATTAAAAAAAAATCTCTGGGTGAAGTCCAAAGAAGTCAGAATCTTTTTCCCAGTCCAAAGAAGGGAGTGTCACTAAACTTTACTTTCACTCCATCCAAGGAAACAGTAATTCTCCTTAGGCATCAGGATATAAACTCAAGTCACCTTGGAGAGAACTATGTGTTACACCAACAGCTTTATCTACAGCTGAGGCTGACTATATTTTTAACGTGAGTTCTGACCAGCTATACCAGGGTCGTGTCCAAACCCAGAGTCCCAGTAATTGAAATCACACAGGTATTTTTCCAAAACAAATAATTCTTTTACTAAGCAATATCAAAGTCACACATACAAAATAATCAGTCTCTCAATTCACATACACTCAAGGTTCCTTCAGAATTACAGAAATAGAAATAAAATAGTTTCTCAGTTACTTGGAGGTAGGTAGGTAGCTATTTCAATTTATACTCGCCTGTGTCCAGAAGCCTTGTCTGTTGCAATGGGAATGGGGTAGAAAGTGATACCTAGGGGTTTAATCTAACTCACACCTGCTAGAACCAGCTAAGCAAGTATGGACCTCTTTGGCTGCAGTCCAAGAGATCTTAAAGTAGACAAAGGATTGTTGGATAGAGAGCTGGACCTTAGAGGTAGAAAAGAAGATAGAGGTCGTGGGGAAGGGAGGTGGCTAGCAAAGACCTAGGGTTTGGGTCTTTACTTTTATAGTTGAATCTCCAGGTGGGTGGTATTTTACCAGTCTGTAATCCCACCTACTTACAAGTCCATCCCATAGTTCTTCCCTATTGGTGCATGTGAAAAGGGGCAGGTATGCTATGGGTTGGGTCAATATTTGAAATACTACACTCTATCTCATGGAATTGCCATCTGGCCAGGTGTTGCTTGCTGCTTCTCCTTTGAAGTACAGATGAATTTTGCCTTTCCCAGGCATTCAAGGTGCCATCAACAGGAAACTGCTATACAGATGTAGATCAGGTCTGTGTCCTACGTGACATCTCGTCTTTGCAGTAATGGGGAATTCTTCTCTTAGTCGTTGTTCTCTGCTCACAATGGCTACCATGTCCTTCTTCTTCCCATGATCCTCTCTGAGCTGAATGTGTGCAAGCTTCATTAACATGCAATGCAGGCAAGCGTTCCCTATGTGAAGTCTCTCTCTCACAGTAGGTGATGCAAACAGCTTTCTCTAGGCTCATGGTATACAAGTGTGTGCACAGTCCATTTGTTGCTTGTGTGTAGCAGATATAAAATAATAAATTAGTTCATTTCCCAACATATGGCTCTGAGTTCTTAGGATAGCAGAGGATATAACTTTGCATAAATGTAACACTTGATAGTTGGGTTCACACACTTTTAATGTGAAAATGTGGTATATACCAATGCTAATATACATTAATGCTTGGAAGAGGTTCAAATTAAGCAGTCAATTGTACATTCATAGACTTAAAGGATCTCAAATTTAAACCAAGAGTCTGTGTTCAAATAGGTAGTCATGATCCAAGAAGAAGTATCTCGTAAACAGAAAGAATGTGAAGATGACCTGATGAAAGCTGAACCTGCTCTGGTGGCTTCTACTGCAGCTTTAAATACACTTAATAAGGTAAGAACCAGTATGGTGGTTCCACCACATGACCTGATAATTGAATGTTGTATTGTTCTGTATTTTATGCAAAGCAGCTTCCCACTATGATTGTAGTCCCCAGGATAGGAACATCTTTCTTGCTAACAGGGAATAGACATTCATCTCTTGATTTGAAGCTTTTCCAGATTAGTGTTTTTCATTCTATAAATGCAGATTTTTATTCATTTATTGCATATTACTTATAAAAAATCACTTCTGTTGTTTTCCCAGCACTGGGATCTAACTATCTTGTTGCGTGGAATCTTTTCAGCGTATTGCTCTTATTTTTTCCCCAAATACAGTTTTCCACCAATGAAGGCTATTGATAAGGGTTTTTGCCTGTTTCTTTTAACAAACAGTAAGTTTTAAATATGATGCAATTGTAATTCTGTCATTGTATTAACATTTACTTTAGTATCAGCTAACACAGAGTACAAAATAAAAATCTAGAATTAACAGCATAAAAATTGGCAACCAACATATGTTTAAATTTTTATTAATTGGTTTTGAGAGCAGTGAAAATACAGACACATCTCTGCTGGACACAGAGTGCTGAGCTACTGTAATTCCTATGGCTTGCTTTCTCTAGAGGTCTTTAGTTCTACTTAAACCCAAATTACACATTGCATTTTACGTATAATGACCATGGGAACTTGCAGGCCTATGGCAGTTGCAAGTTCCTTGTGGTAACTCCAGGGGCCGGTTGGCGCTGGAGCGCACCGGAGAAGCGCTCCAGGAATGAAGGGCCTGGGGGCAGGGCAGGCACATGACCAAGCCCCGCCCCCTGCTCCAGCAGCCCTGCCAGCCATGAGGGAGGCAGAAGAAGGAAGGTAAGTTGCTGCCTGCAGAAACACCTGCCAAGGCTGGGCGCCCCCCCTTGCCGCTGTCTCTCTTGGGCCCTGCACCGGAGCGCTGGGCCTGAGAGAGGCCAGTAGAGGCTGGGTGTCCCCCCAGCTGCCGCTGTCTCTGTCGGGCCCTTCGCCAGAGCGCTGGGCCTAAGAGAGGCCTGCAGAGGCCAGGCACCCCCCCCTTCTGCCGCCGCCTCTCTCAGGCCCTGTGATGGAGCACTAGGCCTGAGAAAGGCCAGCAGAGGCTGGGCCCCCCTTGCCACTACTGTCGTCTTTTTCGGGCCCTGCACCAGAGCTCCGGGCCTGAGAGAGGCCAGCAGAGGCCAGGTGCCCCCCCTGCCTCCGCCTCTCTCGGGCCCTGCGCCGGAGCACTGGGCCTGAGAGAAACCTGCAGAGGCCGGGCACCCCCCTTGTGCTGGTGGAGACTTTTCATGGGGGGTGGCCATGAGCGCCTGGGTTGCAGGCCGCTCGGGCGGTCTACCATGCGCTGGGGGAGAATGATTCTTGGAGAGTCTCTGTCTTTCTCTCTGTGTCTTTCTCCCTATCTCTCTCTCCCTTTCCCCCCCTCTATCTTTCGCTCTGTGTCTTTCTCCCTCTCCCTCTCCCTCTCGCTCTTTTCCCCCTCTGTCTTTCTCTCTGTGTCTTTCTCCCTCCCTCTCTCTCTCTCTCTCTTTCCCCCTCTCTCTGTCTTTCTCCCTGGCTGATTTTGCACAATGAGCTGTGCCACCGTCACACCTCCCTTTGCCCCGTTTCCATTGGTCAATTTCCCATTCAAAGCCGCGTGGCCACATTTTGACCCGCAGCTTCGCCCGATTTTCCCCGCGGTTTCGTGATCCTGGTTTTTTGAGGATCATGAAACCCGGAGGGAAAATTGAGCGAAGCCGTAGGTCAAAATGCGGCCACGTGGCTTCAAGTAGGAAATTGACAAATGGAAACGGGGCATATGGAGGCGTGACGGCAGCACAACTCCTTGTGTGAAATCAGCCCCTCTCTCTGTCTCTCTTTCCCCCCCTCTGTCTTTCTCCCTCCCTCTCTCTCTTTCCCCTCCTCTGTCTTTCTGTCTGTGTCTTTCTCCCTCTCTCTCTGTCTCCTCCCCTGTCTTTCTGTCTGTGTCTTTCTCCCTCTCTCTCTCTTCCTTCCCCTCTGTTTTTCTCTCTGGCTGATTTTGCACAAGCTGCTGCTCCACGCTAGTTCCTCCCTTTGCCCCGATCATGTGTCAGTTTCACACCATGTGCTGCATTTTGCTCCGCAGCTTCCCCTGATTTCCCCCACATCTACTCAATCCTCAAAAAACAGAATTGAGTAGACACGGGGGAAATTGGGAAAAGCTGTGGAGCAAAATGCAGCCACATAGCACAGGGTGTGAAATTGACACTTACAATCAGGGCAAAGGGAAGAACGAGCGTGGAGCAACAGCTTGTGGGAAATCAGCCTCTCTCTCTCGTTTCCCCCTCTTTGTCTTTCTCTCTGTGAAGAGATTTGAGCTGTGGGGACGGGATGAGAGAAGAAAGAAAAGTCTAGGGAGAGCAGCGAGGGAAATGGGTGTGTGTGTGGCTGATTTCGCACTAGAGCTGCCTCAATGTTGCGCCACTGTTTGCCCCGATACTATTGGTCAATTTTACACCTGAAGCTGTGGGGCTGCATTTTGACTCACGGCTTCGCCCGATTTTCCCCACAGTTTCGTGATCCTGTTTTTTGAGGATCACAAAACTGCGGAGGAAATCGGGCGAAGCCATGGGTCAAATGCAGCCCTGCGGCTTCGGGTGTGAAATTGACCAATAGTATTGGGGCAAACGGTGGCGCAACATCGAGGCAGCTCTAGTGCGAAATCAGCCTGTATGTGTGTGGAGATGGAGAGGGAGGGAGGATGATGCAGGGGGGGCTTCCTTTTGCTGCCATCTGTATCTGTTAGCACTTTATGTAATTGTTTTTCATGTGAATTTTATTGTATTTATTGTTTTATCGTATTGTAACTGTGTAAGCCGCCTTGAGCCAGTTTACCCCAGCAAGGTGGGATATAAATTAATAAATAAATAATAAATGTGCAGCCCATGGAGTGGCAAGGGTGCAAGCTCAATTCTAGGCAGATACTCTTAAGAACATATGTTCTTCATTAAGAACATAAGAGAAGCCATGTTGGATCAGGCCAGTCCAATACTCTGTGTCACATAGTGGCCAAAACCCAGGTTCCATCAGGATGTCCACCAGCAGGGCCAGAACTCTTAAAGCCCTCCCACTGTTGCCTCCCCCCCAAGCACCAAGAATACAGACCATCACTGCCCCAGACATAGTGCCACATATCTATCCTTTGTGACTAATAGCCACTGATAGGTCTCTGCTCCATACTCTTCGAGTATGAGTATTATTGACCTCTGATATCACTGGCCTCCACTAGCTTTCCAGTAACCCTTCAAGCATACAGTGCCATTTAGAATAATACAGCCTTGGAAGAAAAGGAGAATCACAGATCATTCAGTCCATCACACCTTTGCTCTGTTTCAGCCACTCGGGCTGTTTCTGCACATTGATGGACATTGTGCTATTGTTACTCAGTTACAAGTGATTTGACCATCCACACAGGAAAATTCATTTGCAAATGATTGCTACAGAGAGTGTGGATGCGGCCTTGAGGTTGTTTGTGATGTGCAGGCAAATAGTGAGGAGGCTGTTGTTTGATCAGAAATCTAGGGAAGCAATAGAAGGGTGAAATCCTCCTTATCCACCACTCAGGCAAGGAGGTGCAGGAGATCAACTTTTCAGGCAGCTGTAGGCAAATGCTCTCTCTCAGCTTAATAGTGTCCTGTTCACCATTGCAGTTGCAAGGCTGAGGCCAAATGCCCCTAGCTTGTCAAAGGATACATATTCAATTCATTGCAAGCCAAAACCCATCTTTTGGGTGTGGAATAGCGGTCATTGGAGGTGTGTGGGGGGGAGTATTTCTGAAGTTCCTGCATTGTGCAGGGGGTTGGACTAGATGACCCTGGAGGTCCCTTCCAACTCTATGATTCTGTTTTGATTTGGACCAGTAGGGAGGTACCTGCCCAACTGCTGTCCATCATCGATGGCAGCTGAAAATACATTGGGTCAACCCTGACACATAATAGAAGCAGCACCTGTAGCTATATGAAAGGAATTCTCTCAGTGGACATTGTTTGTCAAACCCAGCAATATTTCCAGCCTTCAAGCATTTGTTTCTGTCAGTAAAATGTAGGGGGGGAGAGCATGTCAGGCCTGACAGCAGCCACTGGACAACTTGACACGATACAACTTGCATAACTCATGCAGGCCCAGCTGCTTGCGACTCCTCAACAGCCACTGCCCCATGAAGTGTTGTGTAGTGGTTAGTGTTCCAGACAGGGATTTGGGAGACCCAGGTTTGAATCTGAGTTGTGAAATACCTGGAGATTTTTGGGGTGGAGCCTGAGCACTGGGTGTTGCCTTCTGTCACACTTCCGGTGATGTCAGGGGTGTGGCATATGCAAATTAGTTATGCTAATGAGCTCCTGCACCTCTTTTTCTATGAAATGACCCCTGGGTAACTCCATTTGGAAGCACTGCTAGGGCTCCGTTCAGATCAACACCAGGGCATAGGGGGAACAGGGGCTTCCCTCTGCACCATTTCCCCAAACCCAAAGGCCTCGGGGTGTTATTTGAGCTATTGAGGGGATAACTACACATACATGAAATGCCTGCATGTATAACCATTTGAGTTGGGAAAATAGCATGGGGGAAGAGGAAGAAGCCCCTTCTCTCCCTGCACCACAGTCCTGAGCAGAACTGAGCCCCCCTGCGGCGGTTCTAAATTGAGTTGCCACAGGGAAGTAGCAGCTGACTTTTTGTTGCAAGTCTCTTCTTGGATCACATCTTACACATGATATGTAGTTTGGCCCTTGTGTGTGCGTTAAGTGCTGTCAAGTTGCTTCTGACTTATGGTGACCCTACAAATTAATGTCCTCTAGAATGTCCTGTTGCTAACAGCCATTCTCAGGTCTTGGAAACTGAGGGCAATGGCTTCCTTGATAGAGTCAATCCATCTCATGTTTGGTCTTCCTCTTTTCCTTATGCCTTCAACTTTTCCTAGCGTTATTGTCTTTTCTAGTGACTCTTGTATTCTCATTATGTGATCAAAGTACGAGAGCCTCAGTTTAGTCATTTTAGCTTCTAAGGAGACTTCAGGCTTGATTTGGTTTAGAACCCACTTATTTGTCTTTTTGGCAGTCCACAGTGTCCATGAAACTCTCCTCCAACACCACATTTCAAAGAAGTCATATTCTTCCTGTCCGCTTTTTTCATTGTCCAACTTTCACACCTGTACAGATCAGTGGGGAACACTATGGCATGAATTAACTTGCTCTTGGTCACCAGCAATGCATCCTTAAACTTTAGGATATTTTCTAGCTTCTTCATGGCTGCCCTTCCCAGTTTCCATGTCCTTCTGATTTCTTGGGTGTGATCTCCCTTTTGGTTGATAATGGAGCCAAGGAATAGAAAATCTTGAACAATTTCAGTTTCTTGATTGTCAACCTTAAAGTTGTGTAATTCCCCAGCAGTCATTACTTTTGTCTTCTTGATGTGCAGCTGTAATCCTGTTTTGCACTTTTCTGCTTTAACCTTCATCAGTAGTTGTTTCAAGTCTTCACTGTTTTCTGCTAATAATGTGGTCTCATCTGCATATCTCAAATGCTGTGGCACACCCCTTTCCTTTAAAGCAAACCATAGCTTTTCATGATCCACAGTCAAAAGGTTTGCTGTAATCTATGAAACAAAAGCTGATTTTCCTCTAAAATGATCTCTCATGCTCCAGTGACCAATGTGAATTTGCAATATGATCTCTAGTGCCTCCTCCTTTTCTGAATCCAGCTTGAACAACTAGCATTTCATGTTCCATATACAGTAACAGTCTGCTGGAAGATTCTGAGTATCACTTTATTTGAGTGAATGAAAAGAGCAAGAGTCCAGTAGCACCTTAAAGACTAACAAAATATGTGGCATGGTTTGAGCTTTCTTAAGTCACTGCTCAGTTCTTCAGATACAGCTAGAATGGGAGTCCATTTGTCCTATTTATTGGAAAGTGGAGTGATTTCAGATGCCGAATGGCACTAGCAGAAAGAAAAATACTATAAACACCATGTATGCAAAGTATAACAACACTCGATATTGGATGTAATGTATGGAATAAATGGACAAACCATTAACAAATTCAATGTGTATATACTATTATCAGTGCTCAAGACATGAAGCTCACGACAATGCATCCACCTGGATTGAATCAAGACCTAGGTTTCTGTCTCATTACCAATGCTGATTTCTCCACACCTATTACCCCTCTGAGTATCTCACCTAAATCCAATCACACCTGCTATTGTCATTCGCCTGCTAATGTTATTTGGCATCTGAAATCACTCAACTTTCCAATAAATAGGACAGATGGACTCCCATTCTAGCTGTATCTGAAGAAGTGTGCAGAGACTCATGAAAGTTCATACCCTGCCACATATTTTGTTAGTCTTTAAGGTGCTACTGGACTCCTGCTCTTTTCTACTGCTACACTCAGACTAACACAGCCTACCCATCTTGATCTATTTACTTGAATGAGAAATTAATGCAATGGCCCAATAGTTGCTGCAGTCTTTGACATCTCTGTGACCGATTGTTTTGTTTCCATATTTGTTGGCACAATCTTGTAAAGCTTTTGATGGACTCAATTTCTGTGGCTTGGAATAGTTCTATTGATATAAGGACAAAAGATTGTGAGTCGACAGAAAAAGAGACTTTTCTTTTGGCTACAGGAATACTCTTTGTGCATTATTCTTTGATAATATTTCTTGTTTCAACCCATATTCTTCTGGTTTATGTTCACTTCAACTTAGTAATGCAAATCTGTTCTTTACATGGTCTTTAAACCCTTTAGGGATGTTGTTTAGGTTGTGTTTTGGCATTAGGACTGTTTTGGTTTTTTTCTTCAGCTTTATTCTAATTTTTGATATTAACAATTCATGAGCTGTACTGCAGTTGGCTCCTGGTCTTGTTTTAACAGAGGGAATAGAACTTCTCCATCTTCTGCTTCTGATTGAGTAATCTATTTGATTTCTATATTGGCTGTCCGGTGAAGTCCATGTATGCAAGTGAAGAGGACCCGACTAAGTGAGACCTGACATTTGTGGGGGCAGCCAGGGAGGGAGAGGTGGCCAGATGGGGCTGATGAGTGGCAGGAAAATCAGGACCTCCCCCCTTTCCCGGACCAATGGCAAAGGGCCAGGTTGGCTGGGGGAGGGTGGTTTGAAGAAACAGGCCAGTCACTCACCACCCCCACCCCAGCCTTTGTCTGGCCACAGAGATGCTTGGAGGGTCGCCGACAGCCAGGTAATATGGGTAGGGAGGCCTCGCAGCTGCTGCTGTGAGGTGGCGGGGTCGCGGGGCAATGGTGGGGGCCACCTTGCAGTGGGGCCAGATGAGCTATGGCAAGAGGGGAACTGCTGGCACAACCCAAAACAATGAGACTGGAGGGGTCCAGGTGCTTCTGCATGCAGGCATGTTGCCCTCGGCTCCCTCCTTCTTCCCTATGGGCAGGTATGTCCTGGAGTATCTGGGGCCTGACTGGCTTGGCTCACGCTTGCACCCCCCATGAACCCATTGGCACCCCTCATCATGCAGCATGGTGCCAAGGATGCCTGAGTCTGCACTCCATCCCCTTGCCATGGGGGAGGTCCGGCTGGGAGGGCAGGTGGTGGTCGGAGCACCTGCCTGGCCTCATAGCCTCATGAACGCAGCCTGGTGCAGGGGAGGGGAAAACAGGGCACCAGCTTGGAGCATGAGTCCAGTATTTGTTACCAGAATAATTTGGAGAGCATGTGCAGTTACCATGAGAGATTATCCATGGCCTACTGTGTAAACTGTTAGCAATTGCACATCACATGAGAAAGCAACACCTGGCTCTATAGAAAATCTTTTTTCATATATTTATTTCTGGATATGTGTTGTTTTACAATAGTAATATTGACCACTGAGGAAGGCCCTAAGGGGCCAAAACGCATATGGTCTACTGGTCATAAGATATACCCATCAATTGTACATGTAAAACTATCAACTGTGTCTAAAAAGTTTTAAGAGTTTGATATTTTGGATCATTTCTTTTAACCTATTTTATCTTTTACTAATGTATACCATAATAAATATTTGTATTTTTATAATAATTTATTTTGTTAGCTTGACCCTCATATATCACTGCCATATCTTGGGTTGAGTCCCCCCCTTTTTTTTTCAGGGTGCATAATTAACCATAATTAAAGAATTACCCTCTTCAAACGAAGTCATAATTCTCGTCATACTGCTATGGACATTTTTGTTATATGCTTGGCTTATTTCAGAGCCATTTTTGTGATTGTTCTACAGGCAAATCTTTTGGAACTGAGAGCCTTCCCTAATCCACCTATTGCAGTAACAAATGTTTTAGCTGCAGTAATGGTCCTATTGGCGAATAAAGGAAAAATATCAAAAGATCGGAGCTGGAAAGCTGCTAAACTTTTCATGGGAAAGGTACCTAGAACATTGGCGTTACCTGCCAAATTGTGCTGTGATTTAGTCGTTTAAATACAAATGTCAAAGTTAACATATTGAAAATTTATTTGGATCCTGTGACCAATGAGTGCAATAAGTTCATGAAATGGATCTCTACCTCTCTCCCTTTCTGGTGCAACTTTCTACCACCCTGAAAATCTGCTCCTGAAGCCGAGGGGCCCCTCTGGAACAGGGTGGGGTACAGCATGAAGGAGTGCAGCTCAAGGGGAAATTGACAGAAATCACCCTTCATACTCACACATACAAAACATACACACACACACACAAGCTCTTCCACAAATTGTGCAGGAGCACCTGCAAGACAGAGAGTGAGGCTGCAATTTTTGCTTAAACCCCCTTCTTTTTGCAACCTCTTCTGGTACATCAGACTTTATTCCCAAAGGCCATTTACCACTAAGGATCCACTTGAGTGGCACAGGATGCTGCAGGGATAAGGGGGAGAGATCTGTTCTCTGTTCATGGTTCATAATATTTTGTAAAATGCTAATGAATCACAAATAATTGGGGGGGGCACTCGTTGCAAACATTGAGAACCTGCAAGCAGTAAGAAGACATTTATGTTACATTATGTGCTGTCAGGCTGGTTCCACAAATGTAGAGAAAAATAGCAGTGGTGTGCATCAGAAAATACTCTGTGGCTAACTATCCATTTCACTGCAAAGATTTGTAACAATTTTTAAAGGAGACAAGTAGACTTGGGAGAGGGAGGATTTGAATTTGAGAAGCAGCCAGGAAGTCCTTAATTCACTCTTAAACTATTTCTACCTTCTCAGCTTGCCTATACATGAGCAAATATGCTTTGTAAACCCCCCCCCCCGTTCCACCCTCCAAAAGCTGCTCATTTTGCATACAGTGTGCAGTGAATTATTCATTGGGAAAATATGAGTAGCTTCATTGAGAGACACAATTTCTTCAGACAAGGCAGAGAAGTATAGGGAGAGTAAGTGTAAGTCACTCATGCTTCTCTAGACTTCAGATAGCTGAAGCTACTCTTAGGTGGAAGCACTTTAGGTAGATGTGCTTAAAGTTATTTTCAGTTTAGCCCTGTACCTTACATTGTTTTTAAATCTGTGTTTGTTATTCTTTTTTGGGGGGGGGTATTTTCACTGTAACACTAGTCAGGTGCATTAAATATTGTCTTCTTCCAGACAGATGAATTCTTGCAAGCTTTAATTAACTATGATAAAGAGCACATCCCAGATAATTGCCTGAAAGTGGTCAAGGAGCATTACTTAAAAGACCAAGAATTCAGCCCAAACCTAGTTCGCATGAAGTCATTTGCAGCAGCTGGTCTCTGCGCCTGGGTTATCAACATCATAAAATACTATGAGGTACTGAATGTGCTTTTTCTAGTTAAAGTATTAAATGGTTCTGGTAAGTAGCATCTCAGGGATGTTCTTTATGGAAGCAGTATTTTTAGATAAATATGGACTTCTAAGCTGCATATAAATTGGTTACAGCAGCACTGGACAGTTTTTTAATCTCATATTACAACATAGCAAAGGTGTTGTCCCTCTAAATTCTGATAATGTGAGTACTGGAGTATTGCAGTAGCTAAAAGTGTGGGCCAGGATGTCCCCATTTCAAATCTCATCTGACCCATGAATTCATTAGATGGCCGTAGGTTTGATAACACTGTTGTGTCTTACAGAGTTGTTGTAAATATTTGTGTGTAATGTTTGTGAAACAACTAACCGTGTAAACACATTATTTATATGTCAACTAATATTACTATTGTATTGGGTACTTTCCTAACAGATTCAGGAAAGGACGAGAAGGTCAGGGCTGGAGGTGGTGGTACACGTGCACTGTTAAGAGGTGCTTTTTAAAGTCCAAGAAGGTTTAGAAAACAGTTTGCAATATGTTATCAGAGAACAGGTATTTGGAAAAGAAAGGAAAATATCCCCACACATCCCTGCATCAGTGCTGCTGAACTTCAGGCAGTGTTCTCTAAGCTGTGCATGTGAGTGGTCGCTCATTAACACAGGCAGCCCCACTCAGCAGCAGTCTAGAGCTGTGCACTGCCCATTGCCCATTTTAAGATTACAGCAGTTACTGCTGCTCAGAAGGGAACAAAATATTAGAGGGAACATTGACTATAGGCTGTGATAGCAGTGAAAATGCAGAGTAACAAGAGTAACATTTACTGAGCTACTAGACTGTTTATCATATTTCAGGATATTACTTTAATTAAATGCATACATCCATCTCAGAAGGGAAAAAAATATTAGAGGGAACATTGACTACAGGCTGTGATGAGCAGTGAAAATACAGAGTAACAAGAGTAACATTTACTGAGCTACTAGACTGTTTATCATATTTCAGGATATTACTTTAATTAAATGCCTACATCCATTTATCTGTTTCATGAAGTTCCTTCCTATGCCAGTTTGGTGTAGAGAGACAGTTTGGTGTAGTGGTTAAGTGCGCGGACTCTAATCTGGGAGAACCGGGTTTGATTCCCCACTCCTCCACTTGCACCTGCTGATGTGACCTTGGGTCAGTCACAAGCTCTGGCACAGCTGTCCTTGAAAAAGAGCAGTTTGTGTCAGAGTTCTCTCAGCCCCACCCACCTCACAGGGTGTCTGTTGTGGGGAGGGGAAGGGAAAGGAGTTTGTAAGCCGCTCTGAGACTCCAAGTGAAGTGCGGGGTATAAATCCAATCTCTTCTTCTTCTTCTTCTTCTTCTTCTCAGTGCTCTTGAAAGCTTGAAAACAAGAGACAATGGCATTCTGGTTAAAATAATGTCTAATAAACTGTTGTGAAAACAACAGAGGGCAAAATCCTGCAGAGAGATCATGGGGCTGGATCCAGACTAAATTGGCAGTTTCTACCAGTTCCCCCCTTTTCACTGCAGAGCCCTCTCATGTCACTCTTCATGGTCTTCTTTCCCCCAGGAGCAGCAGCATTTTGTGGACATCAGTGGGCTACAGTCAGAGGAGGAGCCAGCAAGGTTCCATTCTGCCACTGGGAATGTTAGTCTGGATCCAACCAATATGTGACAGTTTTATAAATTGTGTCAAACTTGTTTTGTCGAGCCCCCCCCCCATTTAAAAAAATTGTGGAATATGTAAATTCCTAGGTATACTGTGATGTGGAGCCAAAACGTCAAGCACTGAGCCAAGCAAATGCTGAACTTGCAGCTGCTACAGAGAAGCTGGAAGCCATCAGGAAAAAACTTAGTGTGAGTACAACCCTACTATGTTCTTGATCCTACTGCATAGCCCCAGGCAGATGTAGCTGGCTTGCATTCTGCTTTGTGGCAATGCTCTGAGCCTGTCTGTAAAGATAAGGGATTTTATTGCCTTCTAGCTTTGCCAGAGTATGAAGCTATTATTTTAGCGTCAAAGATAAGATATGGTTATATTAAGCATTATTATATCTTTTCCTGTAAACCAGCTGAAGGTATCATACATTTTGTGTTTGGTAACTGAATCCTTAACAAGAAATGACAATTTTACCAACAGCCATTTAGCCCCATTACTACATGTGTATGTTTGAATAAATATAATATATTTAAGTACTGATTGTATATATTCCTCACCTTTCTCAAAATTGCACAGCACACATCTGGTCCTCTGTTGGACTTGTTCAAAGCTACCACTTAGATGATGGCTTCATATACTTACAAACAGGGCACGCTTCTTTTTTGAAAAAGAGGTGCCAGAACCCTCAAGAGGGAAATGAAGTTTTCAGTCTGTATACTGAAAACTCACACTTTTAAACATTTTTAAAAGAATTTTTCGAAGAGGTTTTGAAACTCCTTTCTAGCACGTTCCCTCAGAAAAAAGCCCTGCTTACAAACATTAAATATATGCTAATTTAATTGGTCTCTTTTTCAAGATACGATTGAGGATTTAACAGTGCAGTCCTAAGGATACTTTCCTAGGAGTAAGCTCCATTGAGTAGACTTGCATAGGATTCTGAGCAGACCTACTTATGACTGCACTATAAATTACTTAAACTCAGCTAAACAACCTAGTCCTTACTCTAGTAATATAAATTATTTACCACTGTTTATAATGATAATGAATGCAGTGCCATGTACTTAGACTTTACCTATCAAAGAGCATGCTTTATCCATACTTTGACCCGTCAGCTTACTGGTCTTTATCTCCCATTGCGTCTCTCAGCCTTGTGCCTGTTTATTACTTATTTGCTTACTATGCTCTGTGTTTATTGTTCCATTTGCTATTAATACTTTTGAAAAATAGAGTCACAGGTAGTCATCCCTGTCTCATGGATTTCCAATGGATCCTATCCTGTAAGCCAGTGCCTTTCTGTGGGGAAAGTGCTGTACTAATTTTTCATATAGAAGTTTTTTCTAGCTTGTAATTTTCTATAATGATTAATAAATATTGCAGCTATTACAAGATAATCAATAATACATCATCACTTGGATGCGGTGCCATGTACTTAGACTTTGCCTATCAAAGAACATGCTTTATCCATACTTTGACCCGTCAGCTTACTGGTCTTTATCTCCCATTGCATCTCTCAGCCTTGTACCTGTTTATTACTTATTTGCTTACTGTGCTCTGTCTTTATTGTTCCATTTGCTAATAATACTTTTGAAAAATAGAGTCACAGGTAGTCATCCCTGTCTCATGGATTTCCAATGGATCCTATCCTGTAAGCCAGTGCCTTTCTGTGGGGAAAGTGCTGTACTAATTTTTCATATAGAAGTTTTTTCTAGCTTGTAATTTTCTATAATGATTAATAAATATTGCAGCTATTACAAGATAATCAATAATACATCATCAGTCTGGATGGCACTGTGCTACCAACCCTTCATTTTTAATGCCTGCTAAAATATATTTCAAAATGACAAATTAAGTCTTGGTCAACACATGTAAATAGCAAGATAAATGTTGCTGAAACATTTCTTAAATTATTTTTAAATGGCCATAAAATATTTTATATTGTTTAAAATATTAATTTGTGAATATCTTTTTAATTTAAATTTACAAAACCCTATATGTCTCTTCCATATATAAATCTTGTATAGTCCATAAACACATATTTATGTTTATATGTCCCATGCACGATATACCTCCTTAGCACTTGAAGAAGGCCTGTATGTTTACCAGCAACCACTGTCAAGTGGTATCCAAAGTGGTATCATATTCACACTCTGCACTGCTGCATATTGCAGAAGTATGTGCCATCCAGCATATGCTGTTATGAGCACTTGTACAGATATAGCACATGTACCACACAAAGTTTTCTGTCACCACGTGGCAAGGGCAGTGAGTGCAAAGGCACCTTCCCATTGCAAATAGCCACTGCTCAGTGGTAGTAGCAGATATTCTACTGTGTGCCATACCTGACATCTATGTGTCATTTCAGTAGGGATGCTTTCTAGATAGTAAACATTCTAACCTAGGATTAAGAAGTTATAAAAATGCAAAATCAAAATTATTTGGAAATTAATTAGGTCAGAAATGATTTTAAGAAACTTTGTGGATTATTCCTTATAATGAACATATTTTACATCATCTTTGAATGAACAGCAAATAGTGTCTAAATATAGAAGAGGCAAATTGGGGAATCTGTGAAAAATTGCAGTGAAGGGAGAAATAAATTGGATCCTGTAATCTACTAGTAGAAGGTACTGGTGACTATCGATATTTCTTATTTCCCCCTCCTCCAAGCAGTCCCTTCCAGCCCTGACAGAATTTATTCCCAGGGTTGTGAGACCCACATGGAGAAAAAGCCACATAGGTTAGGGGGATGCAGTGTGCTGTGAGAAGGGAGTGATTTGCTGTTCTTGCCTTTTTCCATCAGTAAAAACTTTCCCATGGTTAGAAATGGTTGCTGGAGGGAGAGAAAAGCTATGAAGATCTTAGGTCCTTGCATGATCCTTGCACTGGATCCAACCCAATGAATGGACACTTCCTCACTACCCAGAGTGCCTCTCTCCCTCTAGGATTCCTATGGCCCTGAACAGGCCAGTTCCCATACTTTTTCTGTCCTGTTTTGCCTTTAACAGCACTGTATCTGCTCTTGAAATCCCAAGGACAATGGGCATGCTCATTCTATTTACAAACTAATACTCTTCTGCATACCTGTGAGTAACCTCCCAAGTATGCAAAGACCCCATCCTTGTTTGTGGATGGTCCTCTTTCATTGCCTTTCTGATAGGCACTCAACTGTGAATCTTGCAGTTAGAGGAAACAAGCTGGAGCCCGGCAAGGAATTGCAGGAGTTTGGGGAGATTATGAAATTCCTGCACATTATGCATATCCATCCAGATCTCCCCCTATAGAATTCTATAAGCTCTTAGGCACTTGAGCATGTCAGTTTCCTCACCTCCTTTCCCCTGCCTTTACCTGATTCTGCATTGCTCTCAATTTTCTGTGCCTCTTAGAGCATCCTCAGTTCCTATCAAGGTACTTTCGCAGTTTTTGAACTTTAAAGCACTAAGTAATGTTTTTTCTGCAGATCTGCTGGATGATCTTGGGCAAGCCATAGTTCTGTCAGAGCTGTTCTCTCAAGGACAGCTCTGGAAAGAGCTCTCTCAACCCCGCCTACCTCACAGGGTGTATGTTGTGGGGAGGGGGAGGGAAAGGAGTTTGTAAGCCGCTCTGAGACTCCGAGTGAAGGGTGGGGTATAAATCCAGTGTCCTCCCCCCCCCCTTCTTCTTCTCTTAAGAGAGCATTCAGAGTAGGTCTACTCAGAATCCTACTCAAAAGGGTCTTTCACATTACCTTAAAAATCCAATTGCATTACCGAATGTAAATGTGTTTTTTCTTGTGTTCACACAACTTCATAAACACCCCAGCACTGTCTCATATCATCCCCCCTTTACCCCCCATTCTTAATAAAACTGGTTTCTCCTGAACTTTTTTTGAGGAAAGCAAAATGTATTCACAACAAAGCCTCTGCTCTATAATCTAAACCGAGTTTTTTTGCATTGGTGACTTCTGGCAAAACCCACCAGCCCACCAAAACCTACCCAAAATGGGCAGGCTGGTGTTGGTGTTTTTTAAACAAAATTAAAATTTGCATCTCAATGGCAAAACATTCCAGCGATTGAAGGTTGCCTGTATTGGGGCACCTCTCTCTGCTCTGCCTTGCAATTTTATGCGTCTCTCTCTCTTTCTCTCTGGTCTCCTCTCTTTTCCTCTGTCTCCAGCCTGAGCCAGGATCATATCCCTCTCTTCAATACCAACACCAATGGTGCAAATAAATTATCTTTTGTGCTTCAGCTACTGTGCTTTACACAACAGTAAATGGGGCTACTCTCATGTAAAGGAGGAGGAGCAAACAAGGCTGCTGAAATGCTCAAACACTTCAACGCATGTGCAAAAAAAATGCAACAAAATAAAACCTGGAACAGATGGAACTCCTGAGGGGAAGGCTGAACTGATCCCACTGATATCATGATCATCAGAAGCAAGGGTCGTTTGGGGCCAGAGCACGCTGGAGCACTGCTCCGGCAGCCCTGGTAGCAGCAAGCCCCAGCTCCCCGCCCCCAACTCCTTCAGTCTAGAGTTGCGCTGCTGCTCTCCATTCTATTCTATGGCCCCATAGAATAGAATTGAGAGATTGTGCCGCTTCTGAAGCGCGACTCCAGAGAGAAGGGGTTTAAACTTTAAACCCTTTCTTTCTTCGCTGCCCCCCCAGCCTGCCTGGGAAAGGGAAGGCTTTTGAAGATGCCCTCCCCTTTTGCTTCTCCAGCCAGGCTGCCAAGGCAGACGGGGGGGGGAGTTTAAACCCCTTCTCAGCTGGGGAAGGGAAGGGGAGGCTTTTGAAGATGCCTTCCCCCCCTTTTGTTTCCCCTTCTGACATCACTTCCGGTGATGTCAGGGGGCGTAGCATATGCTAATAAGCTATTATGCTAATAGCTTATTAGGTATGCTAATGAGCTCCTGCAGCTCTTTTTCTACAAAATGACCCCTGATCAGAAGCAACACAACACATGTGAAAATGTGAAAGGCAACTGCAGTTTGAAAAATGCCAGAATCTATTTAATTGGACTTACTCCAATTAATGTTCTCCGAAGAAAACCTTCTTAGGACTGCACGATCAATATAGTAATAATAATGATAGTTCAAGTTTTATTTAGAAAATGTTCTTCCTAATTCCACCTAAAGAGGTAGGCTGAAGCAATTCAGTGATGAAGGAAATTCCCTGTGCCTGTGGTACAAAAGTTAAGGACCTGAAAGGTTAAATGAATG